TACTAAATCTGTATAAACACAAAAATTCTTGCTCTTATCCAGTGGCATTTTTTCTTCATAATGAGAACAGTAATAGGTAGGAAAGCAAATAAACAGAGAAGAAAATTTTATAAGGAAAATGGATTCAAAATATAGGTTCAATATGAGGCCACTTATCTCCTATTATTGGCATCTCCCAAACGACATTGTAGGCATTCACAAATTACACAGCAACACATGTAGGATACACAACAAGGACCTTCAGAAAGGCAACCAGGTTTCTGAATGTTGCTGGGTGCTCTTTGTACAACATGTGTTCTTTCTTAACACTTATGAGCCATGAATGGACCCAGAGACCCCACAGAGACTGTGACAGAACTGTGTTTCAGTGTCTCCTGTGGAGGACGGGTCAGCAGTGGCCTGCCGCAGGGGCAGGGGCTCTGGGTGCGGCAGACTTGGGTGTGGCACAAGCCCTCTTGGAGGAGGTCACCATTAACCCCACCATAGAGCTGCCAGAACTTACACAGGACTGGGAGTTAGACTCTTGGAAGACACAAACAGCCTCGTATGCACCAGGACCCAGGAGAAAGGAGCAGTGACCCACAAGAGACTGACCCAGACCTGCCCAGGAGTGTCCAGGGGTCTCCAGCGGAGGCATGGGTTGGCGGTGGCCTACCACAGGGTTGGGGGCACTGAGGGTAGCAGTGCATACATGGGACCTTTTGAAGGAGGTCACCATTTTCTACATTACCTCCACCATAGTTTGGGCCCAGGTAAATAACAGGGAGGGAACACAACTCCACTCATCAACAGAAAATTGGATTAAATATTTACTAAACATGGTCCTGCCCATCAGAACAAGACCCAGTTTTCCCTTCAGTATCTCCAATCAGGAAACTTCTATAAGCCTCTTGTCCTTCTGCATCAGAGGGCAGACAGCCTAAAAACCACAATCACAGAAAACTAACCAATCTGATCACATGGGACCACAGCCTTGTCTAACTCAATGAAATTATGAGCCAGGCAGTGTAGGGCTATCCAAGAGGAATAAGTCATGGTGCAAGGTTCTGACAAAACATGGTCTACTGGAGAAGGGAATGGCAAAGCACTTCAGTATTCTTGCCTTGAGAACACCATGAAAAGGCAAAAAGATAGGACACTGAAAGATGAACTCCCCAGGTCGGTAGGTGCCCAGTATGCTACTGGAGATCCGTGAAGAAATAACTCCAGAAAGAATGAAGAGATGGAGTCAAATCAAAAACAATATCCAGTTGTGAATGTGACTGGTGATAGAAGCAAACTCTGATGCTGTAAAGAGTAATATTGCACAGGAACCTGAAATGTTAGGTCCATGAATCAAGGCAAACTGGAAGTGGTCAAACAGGAGATGGCATGAGTGAACGTCGACATTTTAGGAATCAACAAACTAAAATGAACTGGAATGGATGAATTTAACTCAGGTGACCATTATATCTACTACTGTGGGCAAGAATCCCTTAGAAGACATGGAGCATCCATCATGGTCAACAAGAGAGTCCTAAATGCAGTACCTGTATGTGGTCTCAAAAATGACAGAAAGATATCTGTTTGTTTTCAAGGCACACCATTCAATATCATGGTAATTCCAAGTCTATGCCTCTACCAGTAATGCTGAAGAAGTTGAAGTTGAACAGTTCTATGAAGACATACAAGAATTTCTAGAACTAACCCCTAAAAAAAGATGTCTTTTTCATTATAGGGGACTGGAATGCAAAAGTAGGAAGTCAAGAAACACCTGGAGTAACAAGCAAATTTGGCCTTAGAGTAAAGAATGAAGCAGGGCAAAGGCTAACAGACTTTTGCCAAGAGAACGCACTGGTCATAGCAAACACCCTCTTCCAACAACAGAAGAGAAGACTATAACCATAGACATTACCAGATGGTCAATACCGAAATCAGATTAATTATATTCTTTGCATCCAAAAATGGAGAAGCTCTATACAGTAAGGAAAAACAAGGCTGGGTGTTGATTGTGGCTTGGATCATGAACACCTTACTGTCAAATTCAGACTTAAATTGAATAAACTAAGGAAAACCACTAGACCATTCAGGTATGACCTAAATCAAATACCTTACGATTATACAGTGGAAGTGAGAAATAGATTCAAAGGATTAGATCTGATAGACAAAGTGCCTGAAGAACTATGGGCGGAGGTTTGTGACATTATACATGAGACAGGGATCAAGACCACCCCCAAGAAAAAGAAATCAAAAAGGCAAAATGGTGGTCTGAGGAGGCCTTAAAAATAGCTGTGAAAAGAAGAGAAGCAAAAAGCAAAGGAGAAAAGGAAAGATATACCCATTTGAATGCAGAGTTCCAAAGAATAGCAAGGAGAGATAAGAAAGCCTTCCTCAGTGATCAATGCAAAGAAATAGAGGAAAACAATAGAATGGGAGAGACTAGAGATCTCTTAAAGAAAATTAGAGACACCAAGGGAATATTTCACGCAAAGATGGGCTCAATAAAGGACAGAAATGGTATGGACCTAAGAGAAGAGGTGGCAAGAATACACAGAAGACTATACTATCTTCATGACCCAGATAATCACGATGGTGTGATCACTCACCTAGAGCCAGACATCCTGGAATGTGAAGTCAAGTGGGCCTTAGGAAGCATCACCACTTAGGAAACTAGTGGAAGTGATGGAATTTCAGCTGAGCTAATTCAAATCCTAAAAGATCATGCTGTGAAAGTGCTACACTCAACATGCCAGCAAGTTTGGAAAATTCAGCAGTGGCCACAGGACTGGAAAAGGTCAGTTTTCATTCCAATCCCAAGAAAGGCAATCCCAAAGAATGCTCAAACTACTGCACAACTGCACTTATCTCACATGCTAGCAAAGTAACGCTCAAAATTCTCCAAGGCAGGCCTCAAGAGTACGTGAACTGTGAACTTCCAGATGTTCAAGCTGGGTTTAGAAAAGTTAGAGGAACCAGAGAACAAATTGCCAATATCCGCTAGATCATTGAAAAAGTGAGAGAGTTCCAGAAAAACATCTATTTCTGCTTTATTGACTATGCGGATCACAATAAACTGTGGAAAATTCTGAGAGATGGGAATACCAGACCACGTGACCTGCCTCTTGAGTAATCTGTATGCAGGTCAGGAAGCACCAGTTAGAACTGGACATGGAACAATAGACTGCTTCCAAATAGGGAAAGGAGTATGTCAAGGCTGGTTATTGTCACCCTGCTTATTTAACTTATATGCAGAATATAGACGACAGAATACATGAGAAATGCTGGGCTGGATGAAGCACAAGCTGGAATCAAGATTTCTGGAAGAAATATCAATAACCTCAGATATGCAGATGACACCATCCTTATGGCAGAAAGTGAAAAAGAACTAAAGAACCTCTTGATCAAAATGAAAGTTGACTTAAAACTCAACATTCAGAAAACTAAGATTATGGCATCTGGTCCCATCACTTCATGGCAAATAGATGGGGAATCAGCGGAAACAGTGACAGACTTTATTTTTTGGGCTCCAAAATCACTGCAGATGATGACTGCAACCATAAAATTAAAAGACGCTTGCTCCTTGGGAGATAAGTTATGACTAACCTAGCCAGCATGTTAAAAAGCAGAGACATTACTCTGCCAACAAAGGTCTGTCTAGTCAAAGCTATGGTTTTTCCAATAGTTATATATGGATGTGATAGTTGGACTATAAAGAAAGCTGAGGGCCAAAGAATTGACGCTTTTGAACTGTGGTGTTGGAAAAGACTCTAAGGAGATCCAGCCAATCCATCCTAAAGGAAATCAGTCCTGAATATTCATTGGAAGGACTGATGTTGAAGCTGAAACTTCAATACTTTTGCCACCATATGCAAAGAAGTGATTCATTTGAAAAGACCCTGATGCTGGACAAGACTGAAGGCAGGAGGAGAAGGGGACGACAAAGGATGAGATGGTTGGACGGCATCACCGACTCAATGGACATGAGTTTGAGTAAACTCTGGGAGTTGGTGATGGACAGGGAGGTCTGGTGTGCTGCAGTCCATGAGGTCACAATGAGTCGGACACGACTGACCGACTGAACTGAACTGAACTGAACTGAACTGAATGACCCATGAATATTCTTTACACAGAATTAGTAGATCAAGTTCAAGTAATTGATAAAAACAGTATACCTTCTTTTAAGATTAATGTAAAAGGCACCAAAAAAGTCAATAGGATAATTATGGATAATAGGATATTAATAGGATAATTAGTTAATAGGATAATTATGTCAAATTACATATAATATGTTTACATTTGATATGTTAGCCATTTTTAACTGAGCTCTTCATAAGCAGTGATGTCATTGCTTAGTTTTTCCAGCAGAGGGAAGCATAGCCTAATTAATTTTGTTTTCTGTAAAGGGTTGAAGTGTGAGGAATGGGATATACTACAATTTTACTTCATTTTAAATAAAGATTGGTTGATATTTCATCATTAAATAAGCAACTTGACATCTTTTAGAAAGCAGAAAATAAACTTGATCCAAAATCCCCCAGTTCAGGGGAATATCCTACTGGTAAATCAGTGTGAAGCCATTCAAACTATCTTTTACTTGAGTAGGATACTCAGTAAGAATGTACTGGGTCTATACTATCAGCATATAAATGAAAAATTTGCATGACTTAGTTTAAGACTGCACTTTCTTCTTGGATATATTTAAATGAATATATTTGTTGTACTACTCAGGTTACAACTATATACAAAAGCGTATACTTAAACCTGACTTCTTTTGGTTAATTTGAAAATTGAGCATTAGGTCTCATAAGGGTCTAATATCTTGAACTTATCATACCTGCAATAATAAAATATAATTCAGTGCTTTGTGTTCATTATAATTTTCTTCCACAGGATGTTCTTTCTCTTCAGTTGCACTTCTCTAAGTATTCTGGCAGCGGTGTATAACTTGTATCATATACATTGCTGCTTTTGATTTTATCCTAGTGCTAGCAGGTTGAGAGATTAAAAATGTTGTAACTTACCATGGTGTTGTAAGTCTGAACAGTGGGTCAATGGATCTCCATTTCTTATATCTTGTCGTCTTGTGCGTCTAAAACAATTATATTTAAAAGGTATTACTGTATCTCTGTTCCTTCTTGGGGATTTGTCATAAGAATTGAGAAGAATCAAAATCAAAGATCCCAGGAGTTTATTAGAAGAGATGAATATATATATGATTAAAAGAGTTTTTAAAGCAGTTCATTATACCTGTAAGAGCAGTCTCCAAGATGATCAAAATGGAAAATAGTATATAAATGCACTAAATAAATAACAGTGCATTAAAAGTCTCAAGGTATTGAAAACAGGAAATTCATGGGTTCTTTTGCTACTGAATGTCAATCAATAAGAACCTAGCATCTAAAAAATTCAAAATTCTTAATACCTTAAATTCTGAGGAAAAAACACAAAATATAGAAAAGCAACCCATTTATTCAATGAATAGAATTACTTTTTTTCCCCTAATCACTAATGAAGGAGTAAGATTGAAAATTAAAAATATGAATTTTTGTCTTAATATTTGTACATAATTCCTTAAATTAATTTTTGTTAAACTCTAGTATTAAGACAAAGAATTAATTGTAATTTAGTCTGTAATTTTTCATTTGGTTGCTATATCAACCTTTTTTTAAATAAAATATTTCTTTTATGATTACATAGTTATGATTACAAACCAATTTACTTATGAAGTGAATAAAAGGACAAAACAGCAACAAATATTAAGGAGCAAGTCTCCTTTTATAAGAGAAAGGTGAGAGAGAAGATGAACTTACCTCTAAAAGAAAAGCAAATTTTCTATAAAACCTGAAATTAAATTCTCCTGCATTCTACTGCTCAGATAATGTTTGTTATAGTACATTCTGGACACCTTCTCTCTACAATTTGCTAATGGTTAACTGGGAATAAGGAGGTTGTCTCCAGCCATTGTGGTGCAAACATGGTGTGTAGTTCAAGTAAAAGGCTAAAAATGGAGACTGCTTATGGGTAAGTGACTGGAAAAGACTGGGGACACTTGCCCAACTGTATACTGCATCTATTTTGATGGGTATTGTCTTGCTGCAAAGTTAGTTACCAACCCTGAAAAAAGTTCTCACAAAGGCCACTGAGAACTGCAAACATGGAATTTGTTACTGTATTCATAAATTTAGAAGTCCCAAGTATTTATAAATTTCTATTTGTAGTATTGGTGACACTATCAAACAGATGGTGCACATTTCAAAATTGAGCCAACAAAAGAACTTGTGAAACACGAACCACAGAGCATTTGGGACGGAATTGCCATTTAAGCTTTTGAAAAATGCCATCACAAAGAATACATAAATTGTAAGGCCTCTAAACATCCTTTTCAAAGACACATGAAATTGGATTAGGTAAAATCTGCAATGCACAACAAAAATGTGTTAATTGTAATTCCTTCAATCTTGGATTCTAGGTATGCAGTAAACATTTCAAATATATAATAATATCCAGGTTTTAACTTATTACAGATTTAGTTATGATGTTATTTTTATATTATTTTTCATTAAGAAAAGCTTAAAATTCAAATGAATTATTACTAAATTAGGCAATGTTATACATTTCACATGGAATAAAATTAATACACATTTTTAGTTCAAACATGAATTCCACTTTTAAGCAACAATTAAAGTCCTCTAGAGCTAAATGATTTAAGAAGCATAAAGCCTTATTCTTAATTAATTAAATTTTATTGCTGTGAAAAGATCATATTGCTATTTATTAATATATTCAAGGTTTCTTTGATCAGTAACACATTATCTCCACACTAAGTTTTTGTTTTAAATTTAAACTTCCAACAAAGTCGATAGGTACATGAAAGTAATACAAATACGTTTTCTCAATTCTGAATACTGAAGGCTTAAGAAAATCGAGTATTTAGTAAATGGACTGGTTAATACATTTATATTTAATATTATTATTAACAAGGTAACTGTGTTTTAACATATATGGACAGAACATATGAAAGTTTTAAGTTGTAGATAATTTAACACTACAGTCAATAATATCTAATGTGTAAAAAAAATATTTAATTAGATATTTGGGTTATTTCTTTTTCCTAATATTTTTCTAAAGCATTTAAAATGATCCAAATGTTGCAGAACGCATCTCATTAGCAATGAAAAATGTCATGCTCACCGCTTCCTGTGAAACATTAGCTACAATAAAAAACAAAGCCAATTTTACTGCCCTTGTGATGCATCACTCTAATAAAACTAATTTCTACTAAATGTTTCAATAGGTTGATGTGCATTTAGATTTATGTTAGTAAGTATTGTATATTACTTTCATCTATCATTGCTTGTTTCTTAAATACTGGTGAATATCACGGAGAACAGGTAGCCTTGAGTGAGGGGTAAAGAATACAGTGAAATGATTATTTGGCCAAATTAACATGGTGTTTTTGTTTTCTAAAACAAAAGTAAACCAAGTTTGTGTAGAAGTTTAGGATATGTCTGAGAGTTCCCTGAATTGTAACACCTTGATTTATACACAGAAACAGAGATGATGTACTTATATGAAGAGGTTGTTCCAAAAATGAAATCAGATAAGACAGGTGGCGAGCAGTGTGCTTATGGCTAACAGGCCTCCCACCTCTTTGCAGCAGGAAAGTAACGCGAGCAGGCGGAGCCGTCCCAGGCGCAGTAGGGGTCTCGGGCGAGGCAGCACTCGGCACAGGCTCTCCCGTAAACGTCGCACCTGTGCAGGGCGAGCTGCGCCACGCCTGTGGCGGAGCCAACGTAGAGCTGTTGCTGCGGGAAGAGCTTACCGTTAGGACAAAAACTACCTTCTCTTTTAAATATCTTTTTCCTTAAAAAAAAATAAAATAAAATGTTATACTTTAGCAAGCACACATTTATCTTTGTGGGTTTAAAATATTTCATTTCTGGTAATTCTTTCAAAGGCCTGGCAGAAAATGTGACCATCTAAAATACAGCAAGGTCGAAATCCATGTATTTGACTGAAACAGGTATATTTTATAAGGGAAGATAAAGGAAGACAGGAGTAGCTACATGTCAATTAAATCTCATGAAAATAAAAAATTTTTAAACAACATTACTGAGCAATGTAAAGTTCAAACCTTCAGTTTGCTCTTAGCTTGCTTTTTAAACTTCTGCTGTTTATAATTTTGATTAACCAGGTTACCTACCCCTGCAATGTATTCTGATTGGTTTTGAGGCAGGGATCTTTTGCTTTCCACTCTTAGGTACTTTCACGTTCAGTTTGCCCTCCTATAAGAAGGCGAAGGGTGAAGTTTCGGGGCTTGTATTGGTAAGGAGCTTTGCTCACTTTTAATCATCTTGCCTTTGCACTACCTCCAGAAGACTACTTTAAACAAAAGTACTCAATTAACTTCTCACTCAAAGATCAGCGTCTAAGGGAATCAAGTACACACTGGTTGTTGCCATGGACTTGAACAGAAAGTTCAAATGTCGTCAAAAAAGTGGGATACTGGGCATCAACATATCTGGTTTCTAGGTCTTGCCTGACATTAACTCTCTGTTGATCTTGGGATATTCACATAATTTTCCTAACACTTAACTTCCTTATTCATAAAATAAGCATGTTTAACTAGAGCTTCAAAGTATGCATCCAAATAAAACATCTATGCTGGCATTATTCTCAATGAATTTGAAGTTATCAAAGGAGCTAGAATTGGAGGGAAAAAAGTTTTCTAGCAACGATTAATTTAGGTTTTCGATACATGTTAAAAAATACCTTTAACAAAGTTGCCCAATGTAGCATATCAGTTGCAAATTTATGTAAACACAAAATGGAATACAAATAAAACTGTTTTGTGATTGTTCTCCATTTTACTATCACTATATAGTAAACTATATACTATACTAGCTCCCTTTTCTTGTACTAGATGATTAAATAATTATAATAAATATTAAGTAAACGTGAAAAATTTTATGTACTGAAACACGATAGTACGTATAAAAAAGACCCCGAAAGTGTATTTTAATTTCTCCACTATAGAAAAGAATAGTTACAGAAAAGCCCGTCTTGGAACCATGGTGTGCTCTTTTAGTATTACAAGTTGCCTATCAGTAAGCAATGGATATAATTCAAATCACATTTCTAGTTGGCTTTCAAAGATGAACTACATATGGCAGATATGTTTGAATGAAGATAAAGTATCCATTAGAATCTAAGAAATTATTGAGGGTAAGGAGCATTTTATAGAAAATAATTATAGGCTTAAAGCTAACCAATTTACTTATATTAACACAAAACAGGGGAAGGGGGAAGAAATAATACAATAAAAACTGAACTGTTATGGAGGTAGTAATCCTGATAAATATTACTTAACCATTTCAGTAAAGTGAAGAATATTTATTTTAAATAATATTCCAGTATGAATAATATTCCAGTAAAGTGAAGAATATTTTAAATAATATTCCAGTATGGAATATGGTATACATTGTAGATGTTCAACTTCTCAGTATATTCACCTTGTATTTTTATATTGTAAGATGCTACAAACCACAGCAAATTAAGAATCGACATAAAGTCTCCAGGAGTAAAAGATGAAATATTATTAAGCCTTTTTGTTGAGAGAAAATGAGACTGATTTGTACCCCTCTTACAGCAGAACCTGTATGTGATAATATTTCTCAAATTATGATCAACTGTTAACAGAGAACTAATAGAAAGAACTTTTTTCCCTCTTATTATTTCTCTCTTCCAAAAGCACCTTTAAAAAAATGACCTTAGATTGTATGGGGAGGCGGGAGGGGGTAGATTTATGGAGAGAGTAACATGGAAACTTACAATATCATATGTAAAATAGAGAGCCACTGGGAACCTGCTAACTGCCTCAGGGAACTCAGACAGGGGCTTTGTGAAGATCTAGAAGGGTGGGATGGGGAGGGAGATGGAGGGAGGTTCCAGAGGAAGTGGACATGGTGTACCTATGGCTGATTCTTGTTGATGTTTGACAGAAAATTAAGTGGCAAAAAAAAGAAGGCAAGAAATCTCAATGTGATAAAAAAAAAAAAGAAACCACCATAATATTTAAATGATAAATTAGTTAAAATGAGGTAGCAGTATCTAGAAGCATGTCTGGCATTGGTGAATATTAGATATGCCAAACCATATACTGTGGACATAACTAAGAAGCAGTTGAACAAGTTGGTCATACATAAGAAAAATATTTCTATGTTTGACCAATAAGTTTTAAGAAGCATGAAAAAACTTCATACTTATAGATTTCTAAGAACATGGCACTGAGTAATAAAGGAGTTGTTATCCAAATAATAAATTCTACATCTGTCAGATCCCTTTAGCAGAAAATCAGATAAATAATACCTGAGAAAAATATGAAATAAAAAATATGGCAACTGAAATCATTGTAATGAAAACCTAAAGTGCGATAAAATGGCAAACATTTAATACAATCAATGTAGTTTTCATTTTATAATTATTCCACTGTACTATTAATGATTTGCAAATAAATTATGCCATCTAAATGAAATGTAGGGGAGGCTTGCAGGCACCATTGAGCATAATCCAGTCACCAGCAAATAACCTGATGTGCTTTTTCTGCCCAATTTAACATCACCACAGGCTTTCTCACTATCCTTCTTAACAAGTTGCAGGTCATAAGCAGGATATGAGTCCATTTATCCATAAAATTAGTTGCAACACGTTTGTCCCTCTTGATACTACTGCCTCACTTTTAAAATTTCCATAAGCATAAAGGAAATTGAGTCACATCTGAATGAAATCAAACTCCAGTAATGGAAAATGAAGGCTAGAGTTACTTTCTTCTAACCTAGTATTTTAGGTTGATAAATTGTTTTTGCTTTTTGGTAAAATGTGTTGCATTTAATGAGCCATTCTTAAGGTAGGGTAAAAAATGTTAAAACAGAAACAGATGGTTTACAAAACTGAATGCAATGTGATTAAGACTGACGAAGTCTAGCAGAGAATAAGTAAATAGTTTTAAAAATCATTATAGGAAAGAATATCCCAGTGTAGCTCCCATCCTGGAACTCCCCGGATTTCCTTGCCAACATTTGACAATTTTTAGATTACAAGAACAGGTGAACACATACTTATGAAGTATAAGATAACAGTATCAGGTCAATAATATCTGCACTCTGGATTTCTCTAAATATCTTGGAGATTATCAATGTAGTTTGATACAAATGTGTTGAAAAGGTATCTACTAAGTTTTACTAGCACAGTATTTTAGCATGTTGTCTGACAAAAAATAGCATGGTTAGAGATAAAACATGTAAGTAAGATTTGCCACCAGAAATAAGATCTGCCAAATCAGGCTCATATTAAACAATTTTGTATGTAAGTTTTCACTTCAGCGAGTGAGAAGCTCCCAACTACTTTTTTGACTATTTCTCCTAGGTTATTTAATAATTAATTTCAATTCAGGATCCAAGTCACTTTTCTAAAGTTAATTTTGGTATACTCATAGAAAGGCTAGGTAACATTTTTGCAGAAAAGATAATTCATTAGAAGTTAAAATCATATTTGCTTTTCCATTATCATTCAGCATTTAGAATCCATTTGCATTTCTTAAGAGTCCTGCCAAAGCATTCATTCAACAGGAATGAGAAGACTATTAACATGCTGTTCTCAAGCTTTGAATTCAAGGAGTTTAGTAATTTATCATTTGGCAGTGACTGTTTTGCTGTTTCCCTTTTTATTTAGCCAAACTAAATGTTTTCTCTAGCTCATACTACTGAAAGTGTAAAATTAACTAAGTCAAAATTCTCAAAAATACACTGTCTAGTGCATGATTTTATTAGCCTGTATAATACAGTTTGTTTATACATGTAAATTAAATTATACATTTATTTGTATTCCGAACCATTCACCTATGTTATTTCAAAGGATATACAGATGAAAATATCAGTTATTACTGAGGAAATTATGTTACAATGGCCAAGAAAGAAATACTATAAATGGAAACTTACAATAAATAGTGATTTAATAGGGCTTCCCTGGTGGCTCAGCACTAAAGACTCCATCTGCAATGCAGGAGCCTCAGGAGATCTAGGTTCAATCCCTGGGTTGGGAATATTCCCTGGAGAAGGACATGGCAACCCACCCTAGTATTCTTGCCTGGAAAATCCCACGGACAGAGAACTCTGGTGGGCTCTAGTACATAGGGTCACAAAGAATCAGAGACAACTGAAGCGACATTGCATGCGTATAATCTAATAAATATATTTATAGGACATATGTGTGTGCAAGGGTGCTAAGTCGCTTCAGTCGTGCCCAACTCTCTGCGACCCTATGGACCATAGCCTGCCAATCTACTCAGTCCATGAATTCTCTAGGCAAGAATATTGGAGTGGGTTGCCATGTCCTCCTCCAGGGGGTCTTCCTGACCTAAGGATCCACCCTTACTCTCTTAAGGCTCCTGCATTGGTAGGTGGGTTCTTTACCACTAGCACCACCTGGGAAGCCCATAGGACACATATGAGACTGGTCAAAAGAATGAGGGCAATGAAATTATCTTTAGTTTTCATTCTGCTAGACTTCCCTAGTGGCTCAGATGGTAAAGCGTCTGCCTACAATGTGGGAGACCAGGGTTCAATCCCTGGGTTGGGAAGATCCCTTGGAGAAGGAAATGGCAACCCACTCCAGTATTCTTGCCTGGAAAATCCCATGGACGGAGAAGCCTGATAGGCTACAGTCCATGGGGTCGCAAAGAGTTGGACACAACTTAGCCACTTCACTTTCACTTTCATTCTGCTATTTATAGTAAGAATGTTTTTTTTTTTCCTCTTGCTTTTTGAACAACTGTTAATAAACCTATAAATTTTGATGGAACATAAATATATTTATCTATTTGAAACAAAGTTAACAAAGTATAGATTACCAATTGTAATGTATAATGTTATTACCTGCTTAGTGGAAAGCTCCATTGCTGAAATAGTAGTTGGTTCCTAAAGAAGAAAAAGAAAATGTGAAATGTTCAGTCAATTAGGAAAGTTACAGAATGCCAACATAAACTTTCAGAAAGATAACTTTAATGCCTACAATAAACAATTGGGAAAAATAAAACATGTGAAAGAAATTGCATAGACAAGTGTTCTATGTGTAGAGCAGACAATATGTGCATCCTCCAGTTAAAGACCATCAAGAACATACCTGTGGATCAAGTTGGGTGGACTGCTCACTATGATAAAGGAGACTGTGGGGAGACTCAGTAAGAGAGAGATGGAAAGGACTTAATATGTTTTGGACTTGTGTGAAGTGATTTGAGAGACAGGAAGTAGGGTATTGCTTTAAATTGGATGCTGTCACAAAGCAAAGGTAATTCTATGATTAGGTATCTTCATAAATTTTATTTAGAAGAAGGAAAAAAACAGAGTGAAACTAGAGCAGTTATTGGGAAAGTAGCAATCACTCACTAGGGCAGATAGGGAGAAGAAATAATCCCCAGGACACTTATTAAAGTATTCTGTTAAAGCCTATTATGAGCATATGTAGGCTGCATAAATAAATGCTGCTCTTTGATGAACTCAGACCACCAAAATACTATTTACCTAAACACATTTGAGTATGTTCTCTTAGATTCATTTTCACTGAACTCCGATCCATCCTGTTTCACCAGTGGCAAACACAACACTAACAAGAGATGGCTTGGGCGGTTTTAGAGAAAGGTAATGAGAAGGAGGCTTAGACAGGATGAACAAAATCCTAAAAGTTCTCTCTCTGTAAGTGCCTGAAGTCATGCCCTGAAGAAATTGTAAAGAGTTGGACTCAGGGCTCAAACTGTATGAATTCAAATGGTAGTAACACAAATCTTGTCAGAAGGTTATTAGGTGTGGTATAGAAACTATTTCTAATTTAATTTTCTCATCTGAAAAATAAACACAATGGCATCTGCTGCATAGGACTGCTATAATGATAACATTAATTAATAAACGTAAAATACTTTGCAAACATGTTTGTCACATAGTGTTTATTCAAATCTCTCCTATCTCATATGCACATACATATATCACACACACACACACACATTCCCATATCCTTCCTTAGCTTCAGGTTTTCTCTTCAGTGCTTATCACTATCTAGAAATACATATATATGACTTTTTTTAAGTATATGATTTATAGGTGATTTTATCTTCTGTCTTATGCATTTCTTCCTATGCCTCAAAGTTCTTATCTAAAGGTAGGGAGGAGGACTGAGAGGAAGGAGGAAAAGCCAATAAAAAGGCTGGTCACGTAAGTCACCACTGAGAAAATCTGAGGATAGTAGACAATGACTCTCTCAAAGCTATCCACTGAGGTTAGTACCAAGAAAAGTTACACATTGCATCATCACAGGGCTGTTAAATCTCCCAGACCCTTAGTTGTGACTATTGCTTGCCCTTTTGCCTGTCAGAGAAGTATGGGGGAAAGAAGTGAAAGATACACCGTGGGAATTATAGGTTAGGCTGATAGGATGTGAGGACAGTGGAAGAGGCATGTCATGTTTTCTTAACTATCTTTCTTGCCCCAAGCCTTCCCCAATCGCCTACCACCCAGTGCTAATTTAGCACAGGGATTTTTGGCTGTTTAGTTCACTGCCATATACCTGGGATTGCTTATCCTACAGCTGTCCCTTGAACAAAAGAGGTTTGAATTTTGCGGGTCCACAAAGACATGGATTTTTTTCAATAGTTAATACTGCAGTGCTACACCATCAACAGTTGGATGAATCCACGCATGCAAAACCAGAGATATGGAGGGCCAATTGCAAATTTATACTCAGATTTTCCCCTGCACAGAGGGTTGGTGCCTCTAACCCCCAAAGTTGTTCAAAGGTCAACTATATTTACAAGTTTTTGATAACTATTTATTAAATAATGGAATGAAACAAATGAATTCCCTACAAATTTCCCCCTTTCTCTTATCTCTTTTACTCTCTCCATTATACTCTGTTCCTCCCACTGAATTTGTATGAGATACAGGGAGCCATCTTTTTAAAAAAGTTTTTCCTCAATGCATCAAGCTTATCTGTATTTTATTTGAAAATAACCTGACTATTCTATACGCTCCACCTTTGCTGGTTCAAGTCTCACCCAGTGCCATTCACCCCTCTGCCCGCTAAGTCTAGGTCTTACTTTAGGGAGAAGGCCTGTGATTTTCAGGAGGAGGAATCACTGATAACCTGTAGTGCTGAATGGAAGCTTTCAGTCTATTGTTCTTAAAGAACTTCCTGTTTGATATAGCACTAGTGACCACTCAATTCTTGACTGCTTCCTCTATTTAGATTTCATTATGCCTTGGAACTCCTTATTAACTATTCTTAATTTTTGCAGAGTTTTTTCTATCTCTAGTCATTCTTCATATGTTTGCCTTCCCTTACTGACTCCTATTCACTCCTCCTTGGATGCTACATTCTTTTCCTGATGGGTTTATCCACTCTTGTGGTTTTAATTACCTCCTATGTGCTATGGAATTGCAGATTTCCACTTTGAACCCTGATATCTAAGCTGAGCATAGAATTTTCTTAACAGATTTAAGACTACCTGCCTGAGACATAAGTGAGACAAATGATTTAGGATGTAAATTAATTTGATAGGATAATTTAGAATTGCCCCATAGTTACCCATTTTCATAGCTTAATGATATTAAAGGTAACAATTTCCTACAGGAACTATCAATCAGAAAGACAACTATGATGAAAGGAATATCTACCAATTTTCTCTATATAGAAATAAGATTTTAGGAATTTAGTCCATCAAATCACAAAAATCAAGGGACCAAATCATCATAGATTTTTAGTTTTAAAAGACAAAACTGATTGTTGTATTTAAGTTTACATAATATTGGAATCAGTGAATCCAAACTAAGAATTTAAAGCAGAAAAATATTCCACAGCAGCTTCTTCCATTCCAACAGCTTCACAGGGAAAATGCTTATGTTGTTATGTATGTAATCAGCTAACCTCATGGAGACTTTTGCAAAATAAATTCTATAGCCAAGGTACAAGGAAAGTACTTCTTAGAGATTTAACAGGTAGTATGATTAAAATGAAAGTTAGCTACATCTAGGTTCTTTTTGAACAACTTCAGTGAAACTATAAGTGAAGCTGGTGAATATTCACACATTTCACATACATTGACAATACAAAATTAAAATGTCTGTAAGGTAGACTGAAATGGTCACTTTATATATAAATTGTAAAAGAAAACAAACTTCAATACATAAGAAACTCCACTGTGCCATATAATGATTTCAACGTTCTTAAATTAAGATCCTAGAATCTCTTTATTAAAAGCAGCTTACTTATATTTTAGGCCATGAAATAGTTTGGAATAGGATGTGTTATATGCTGCCTGTGGTTGAATTTTAACAGACAATATATTAAGATGACATCCATTTAAATAAGCTATTTTTTTTCTGAGCCCTAGTTGGAAGTGAATATGACTTCCATTTAAAACAGATGTAGCTTTATAAGCATTTTTTCATGAAACTGGTTTTAATTGCAAATTTAACTGGAGTTTGAGTAAAAATGAAATTAAAAACTTAGCATCTTTTCAAGATTTTCTATGACTCTAATTTGCTATATATATATATTTTTTCAGATATTTTAAATCTAGTCCTTATTAAACTTTCACACTTGCAGAGCTTTTCAACCTGCTGATCCCAGGAGAATCAGACAGCACTCCCTGGATGCTAAGTATGCTGAAGCTCTCTTAGAATGAGTTAACAGACTAGGTTTTGGAAAGCATCAATTATGTTTTACATTTGAATGAAAATTAAACTCTTTCATTTGTTTGCTCAGCTGTTCATGGAATACTGCATAAATTGGGTTTAAAATGAATGTATTATCTATGTAAATGCCTTGCAATCCTTTGCAGTCAACAGCAGTATAAATAAAATCCGCTGTACTAAATGCATTGCAACTTGGTGTAACCAGCCACTGTATCAAAAGTAAAACCCTCCGAGGACTGGAAAAAAAAAATCTCAAGTGCATAAAGTAAAAATCATCATACTTCTAGTTTTCGTAGCTTTTGAATGTTTTTAACAAGGTATAGATTTAGAATTTTCAAGCAATTATTTTAAATGAGATTGTCACTTATTTAACTAGTTAATAACAGCTACAATTGACTAGTAACCTTAATTAGAAAAACAAAAAAACTGATGAAATGAAGAAGTTGAGGCTCAACTGACTTTAACCAATTTGTTTGGAATATCACAGTAATTGAGATTTAAACACAAGTTTATGTTACAAGTAATATTTGAAATAGGTTTGTGTCTTAATACCTTAATACCATTTTGGATATATGATAGCTATTTAAAGTAATTTCTAGAGTCCTATGAAAATGAAAGTGTTAACTGCTCAACTGTGTCTGACTCTTTGTCCATGAAATTCTCCAGGCAAGAATACTGAAGTGGGTAGCCCACTCTCTTCTCCAGTAAGATTCCTTACTGTCTGAGCTGCCTGGGAAGCCAATTTATTTCATCTCTTATTTCCCACTAAAATTTTACTCTAAAATGGAAATTTTATCACTGAGGAATATTCTTCATATTATACTCTGATTGGGATTTGATTTTACCCAGAATAAAAGTGTCTTAGATGAAACTAGAACCACTGGAATGTCCTGTGATTAGCCAGGGTGTTTTCCTAAAACCAACCTCAAAATGGCAATGGACACAGTACTGGCTTTAATTAGAATTTAATGTGAGGTTGGTTATTCAGTCTAGCAAAGATACATAATGAATATGGTCTCCTGGAGATGATATTATGGTAAAATTAACTGTCTGGTTGACATCAATGTCTTTCTTTTTAAAATCGAAGAGTATCAGATACCACCAGGATCCTAAATCTGTTCCTTGTCTCTTTACCTTGTCAAATCAACACAGTGCTTCAGTTAACCCTTTAAAATTTTTGTATTAAATGGAGTAACTTGCAAGCTTCAAACACAAATAAGGAAACTCTAACATTTCTCTGATAGTGTCAGTGTATATAGAAATTGCTTTAATGTGTTGTGTTTTTTGCCCTCCTTCTGCAAAATTAAACAAAGTTTGACAGTGAAATATTCCAATTGCTAGACCACAATATATGTATGAACTTTGCCTGATAGAATAGAATGTTGAAAGTAAATATTTCTTTAAACTCTGCCCAAATACATTTTGTCTACTTGTGTGTCAGAGAAATAATAATGACAGCAATGCATGGCAGAGAACATGGGAGGGAAATGGAATATTAATCTGAGGAAGATGCGTCCCTATGTTGCAAATAATCTTTTCATAAACTCATAAACAATCATTTCCACGAAAGCATATTATTACTTATGTTAGGCAGTTAGAATAGAAACCAGGAGTCCAAAAAATAGCGGTGGCTAAAAGACAAGGAAGGGAAAAGCCCGAGAAAATAGAACAAAAGAAGGTCAAAGGAAGGTTGGAGGACCAGAGTGAGGACTTCAGGTAGAAAAACACTCCTCACCAAGCCCAATTTGCACAGGACAGGCCCAGGGGGAAGAAAAAAACATATAAAAAGAGGAGCCAAAGGGCTCTCTCTGTCCCCCGCACGCATGCGCTCTTTCTCTTTCTCTCTCTCCTGTGCGCTGGGGCGCTCTTCTCTTTGCGTCTTTGGGTTGACACGCCCTCACTCCTCAAATGTGGATTTTCCTGTTATTATCTAAATAAAATAGAGCCGTAACACTGAGCCATAACACTGAGTTGTCTAAGAGCTACAACACGATCTGTCCAAGACCCGAGAGCTGTGACACGCCGAGGGCGGCTTTAATGTTCGTCACTCCAAAGCTTTGTTGTGACAAGACAAAAACCAAGGAGCATACACTCGCCTGATACTTATTTATACCTAATTGTTAAAAACTGATAAAAAACCTCTCTCATGGCATCTTAAACCATGCAGAAATCATTCAGTAAATTATCACAGGTATAATTAGATTGTGTAATCCTTTGGAAACTGCAAAACACTAATAAAATCTAGTAGACATTAAATATTTGTGCTTGCAAGATTGTTGGCTCCCCATCTCTGAAGGTTTTGCTGAAAGTCATTTAACGGTTTGAAGTAGCATTTTTTAACTAAAACTTGTTTTGATTTACTAAAACAAAACTAGATAAGATGTGCAATATAAACTTAAAATCCCAGAGGTACAAGGAATGAAAAATAGCTAGAATACAGCATTACTACAAAATTATATATATTATGATTCATAAAATCCCAGAAAATGATAAAATGATAGAAAAAAGAACCTTATTATTTAAATGGCATGACATAGCAATGCAGTTCTACAAGAGAAAACTTAATTGCACTAATAATAAATCAGCACTTGAAACGATGAGGGATAACGTGTTAGAAAGAGTCTCTGAGCTGGGTAAGGTCAGAGACCATGTTTACAGTGTTCACCCCTGATTCACCAGAACTTAGCACTGTGCCAGGACAAAGGTGGACATGTTTGTTTAGAGTTGAATTAGTAAATGAAACTTGTTATAATCATATACAATAACTGAAGGGGAATATGCAGAGGAACCATGACAAATCCAAAAGTAAAAGATTCTGGAAATAATTAAGAAATTCTAAAGTTAACATAATATTTTAGTATCTCCTATAACTTCATTTGCATGGTGGTGGCAATATAGATTTCTAAAAACAAATAACTGGCAAAATTTTTTCTACTAGAAAATAATATGGGATATAATCAAGCAGGATAACTTGTTGCTGTTCTTTGTTTATCTTCCTCATACTCTGCCACCTCACTTTAAGGAGGGTCTCCCTAGAGAAGACTTTAAACTCCTTAATTTTTCATATTTAATTTTTTGCATAAATACTGATTTCTCTATTCATTTAACAAATGCTGGTTGAAAACATATTTTAGACTCTGGAGACCCAATAATGGATATAAGACAGAAATTTATATATCTGCCTCTTAGTGCCCATAGTTTGTTTGCTAAATCTAAATGGATTCTATATGATGACACAGTCTATTTGGATAACTGTAGTTTTGAATTTGTAGGCTAAAGCATCAATGTGTAAATTCTGAAATGGGAGGCAGTGGAAGACAGGGGTTAGTCATCATTCTATAACAGACGAAATAAGGTCCAAGTGCTTAATTTTAAAAAATCAGAGTAGAAGTATAATGACTGTGTGATTTTAAGACTTAAACCAAGGATTAGCAGAGCAAGCTACTGTAAATGCAGCTTATATTCACTGTGGACAAACTAAAGCAAATAAAATTATATTGACGATAAGATTCTGAGCACAGTAACTAGCACTGTCCTGGATAGTCCACAGATAGTGTCTCTAATTCTTCTAGCTTCCCTGTGAGACAGGTATTATCTTCCCTGTCTACACTGATGCGAAAGCTCAGATGTACTGTTTGTAGTCCAAGCAGAACTATTATATAGGTATGACTCAAGAACCTAAGACCTTCCCAGTAGAACATTGCTTAGTTACTGCTAGGTGTCTGTGTCATGCTTTACCAGTTACATGTTTCAAAGCTAATTACAATTTTACTTGAATCAATATCAATTTGGAGCTTGCCATATTTTACTTTATTTTTTCTTCGAACAATTACTGAAATAGGGAGCAAGAGCTCTATTGAGTTAATAAGTACAGGGTTAAAAGAAGTCTTGGGAAGATTTTTCTTACAATCAAAATGTTTAATCACATGAAAACTTCAATACAGGAGCTGCACTTTATAGATAAAGTGTCTTAGATTCTTGGAGACTAAATGAGGTAATTTGAAGTGGTGAGACTAGATCTGACATTTCTCATTTTCTGTCCACTAAATAATTCAATTTATTTTTAGTTATAAATGTCTGATTGTTTTTACCTTCTTCTATCAAAAACTGAAATAACACCTTTGATAGGCATCATTTCTGTTTGTTTCATAAATAATTCATGTCAAGGTGTGCTTCAATTCAAACTTCCTCCTAGTTGATTTTCTAAAAGGAACAACAGACTGTGTTATATGTTAAATTACTTTAGTTTTCTTCTCTCACTGCAACACATAAACTGCTGCCTCTATCCCCAATCTCTTGTATAAACTTACCTGAGCCGAAGTGATTCATGACAAAGGGACAACTACAAGTTCCTTTCTTACTTGTGAAGACTAAGAATTTGTAACAATTTTCCACCAGTGATACAAAAACTGTGAACATTTTCTTTTGCTAACAAATGATTTCTTTAGAAAAATGTGATAAAACTCACAGATAAGATTTTAAAAATTACTCAAATGTCTTCATTCCTTCATTTTGAATGTATTTCTTTAATACATTCATGGAAGTTATCTGTCACCCCAGTTACACCATAAAGTGTGAAAGAAGGGCTTTGGGAGGTGGGAGGCACACAGAGTTTGCTCAGTGAGGTAAGTTACATTAATAGTATAAAATGTAAATAATATAATTTACCACTGAGAAAACAAAATATGAGCCAAGGATATATTTCTTTACATTTTTAGATTTAACTAGAATTGAAAGTTCAAGGTTTATTTTGACTAGTGTCTGGCTTTTTAATTGACAAGCTAATTAGAAGGGTATGCTAGACTACTTGTCCATACCAAGATCAGTGTGCAGCTGTCCTGGGGGAAGGACATACAAGTGAACTTGTCGACACTTGAAATTAAACAGCACTCACCCGAAAAACTGTCATTTCTTCAAGCAGAACTTCTTCTAAATCATGCCAGGTCTCCTTAGGAATTGAAACTACTTTAAGAACAGTTCCAACATCTTTGAAAGAAAGTAGAGAACACCACAATTTAAACAGATCTGAAGAGAGTTTAGTGTTAATAAATTATATCAGTAATTGAAAAGAAAGAATGACATTTTGACGTCAGCATTTTAAATTTTATTTTATTGTTTTAGCACTAGTAACATATATTCAAATGCATTTCATGAAACTAGATAAAATAAAATTAGTTATGGAATAAAACTAATTGAATTTTAGAAATATATGAAGCTTTGAAGGTGGCTTTATTCTAAACTTGTGTAATAAATATATATATATATATATAAAATAATCATTAGGTTGGATTCTTTTAAATCTCAATTATCAGGTGTCTCAAAAAAAAAGCTAAATTAAAAATAGTATCAATTTGACAGTATGGGGCCTTCTCAAAAACTAAAATCAGACAACCAAACTCCTGGGTACATATCAGAAAAGAATCAAGAACACTAACTTAAAAAAATACATGCACTCCCATGTTCACAGTAGTATTATTTACAACTACACCAACGTATGCACATAACCCAGGTGTCTGTCAACAGATGAATGGATAAAGAAGATGTGGTACATGTATATACAACGGAATACTACTCAGCCATAAAAAGAAAGAAATTTTGCCATTTATAGCAATATTGATGGACTTGGAGGGCATTATGCTAAGTAAAATGAGTCAGACAAACACTATCTATCTTATATGTGGAATCTAAAAAAAACAACAAACTAGAATATAACAAAAGAATAAGCAGACTCACAGATATAGAGGACAAAATGAGTGGTTAACAGCGGGAAGAGAGAATGGGGGAGGGACAGATAGGGGTAGGAGCAAAAAAGGATTATTATGGGGTTATGTGGAATCATCTGTGTGAAACTCTTGAAAATTTTCAAGCACTATAGAAACTGAAGAATCTTTCATCCAATAAGAAATAAAAAAGAAGAAAAATTACACTTTGACATGACAAGTTTTTCTCCTTCTTGTCATGAAATCAGGAACTACTATCAATATTTAATATTCAAGCAAAATGGAAGCAATGTTGCCAAGCAACAAAAGTAGCTGAACTTCAGAGCCTGACTGCTCATTATCTTCCCATGAGGAAGCCTTTAGTACTTAGAGGTGCCTAAAAAGACAGCTCAATGACCATTTAGTGCGAAATGATAATAATCTGACTTCTCATAATAAATACTGGATTACTTATCAGAATGGTTTTTCAATAATTGGCCTAATCAATTTGGCTTTGGTTTAATTAACATATTAACATATTAGAGTGCTAAAAATTCATCACTATAAATAATAAACTATAAATGATAAAAACTGTTAAACTGAATACATTTTAATAGAGATTTCAAGTACTGTTTATTCATTGCTAACAGATACAAAGTGTTTTAATGGTAAGAGTTGCCACTTTTACTCTAAGTTGGGTTAAAAAGCTACTTTGTGTACATGCTCAGTTGTGTCTGACTCTTGCAACCCCCACCAGCATTTCTGCCCATGGACGTTTCCAGGCATGAATACTGGACTGGGTTACCACTTCCAACTCCAGGGTCTCTTCCCAGCCCAGGGATCTAACCCACATCTCTTGCATCTCCTGCATTGGCACGCATATTCTTTACCAACCTTACTAACTACACCACCTGGGAAGCCTACTAATTTTCCAGTATTTAGAGATGCATTCCTATTCTTGATAGAAGAACGAACAGGGATTTATTAAATTCAAAAATTTGACTCTTTGACATTCCATTTCATCAGATGATCAATTATTTTTAGATATGGATGGCTCATTTTAATCAAATTTAACAGACAAATTATTTGAGAAGAAAAATCTTGTCTGTAAAAAATGTTACATCATAAAAATAATCCAAAGTATTCACACCACAGATAACTGTTTTCAGGGGATCAATATGATGTGGTATGTAAGCTCAAGAAAGGCTGCTAGTGTATCCCTTGTAAAGTTTTTTTAAAAGCCCTCTTTTAAGAGGGTCTTTCTATGTTTACAGGACCTTGGACTACTCATAACACCAAAGATTAAAGGTAAATTAGGTTAATCTACTCTGTGCCTCTGATCGGTCTCCAGTATCCAAACATAACCTTATCTGTGTTTCAGATCAAGTTTTACTGAGTAGTATTTCAAACAATTTCACACAAATTGAATCAGATTACTCAACCAGGATCAATGTGCAACTTAGTTAAAAGGTAAAATTACTGTAATCAATTTACTTTGCTGACAGATGACCCTGCTCTGTGCTGACCAATAGCCATCCACAACATCAGATGTTCAACATGCTCATAAAACTGGTTCCTTTAAAGACAGCTCGTGTCCCAAGAAGAATTGAAAACGCATGCTTGGACTTCTGTGGTCAAACTGCCAGAAGCAAGCTTTTGTTGCACTGACAATGAGTGGGGGACTTTTCAACATTAAAGGCCAGAGGTGAAGAAAAAAGCAAGTGTGACTCTATCGAACAAGCTTAACTACTCTGTAGAGAGATCTAATTATAATTTGACATTAAATGACAAACTAATATTTATTGAAGAGAAATCCAATCATCTTATATTTTCTCAAGATATTTATAACCAGAAGTTCATACTTGCAATTCATTGACTTTTACTGAACTCCAAGTCTCACCGGGATTCTTTAATTTGATAGAGAAACTTTCTCCCTCATAAAAGGAAACCATAATGTATTGCTCAGAATCTGACACTGTTACACCTGATAACATAAGTATTTCACAATTTTGTTATAAAACTTTAAGTCTTCAAAGCACTTACTGCACAGGTGCCATTCCCCTATAGTTAATGCAATTTTTTTTCCTCTGTTTTTCACCAAGGGAAAATAAATGTTATTACACAAGGTTTCAGTGGAGCACTCACTCGGTTTCCCACTGATTTATGTCAGTTAACGTTAATGGAGACCAGGAATTTATTACCTTGGAATCTGACCCTAAGTAGCAAGTTTCAGATTTGTAACTGGTGCTTTCAAAATAGTATTATTAAAGAGAGTAGAGGGGAAATAGAGTAATATGTTATAATAGTAATGGAATTCATTCTGAAAATATACCTACCTACAAAATACTTGTTTCCAGTCACAGAATTGGTAAGATACACTGTTAAATTTATACAGCAATGAATCTAAAATGTATATGCTGATTCCTTATGTCCACTTTGTTGCTTTTCTGATAAAGTTTGGTTTGCTTTGTTTTGTTTCTCATTGTATAGTAAACACACTAAACAAATTTGTATTGCCAAAATTTGTTTTCTGGAAGATTTTTTGCACTCTATGATAATTTTAAAGTTCAGATAGTTTTGCATAAATATATTCTAGAACATTTAATGACTGTCTTGGGAATTTTATGCATGGTTTGAGCAATATCTTTGTCCTGAAAGACCTCTGGTCAAAAAAGAGTTATGACTCAGTTATAGACGCTGACTATTCACCTAATCATTATCTTCACCTGATTAAATTGATTAACTATTGACTGAAAAGGAAATTTAAGTTAACAATGTCAACTTGTCTAAAAACATGACACATTAGAATGGGACAATGTTCAGGGGTTTTTTTTTAGTCATTTATTAGAGGTTAACTATACCTTGAGCCTGGAGAAGGAAATGGCAACCCACTCCAGTGTTCTTGCCTGGAGAATCCCAGGGACTGGGAAGCCTGGTGGGCTGCCGTCTATGGGGTCGCACAGAGTCGCACACGACTGAAGCGACTCAGTAGCAGCAGCAGCATACCTTGAGTCCCAGTTCGATTCCTGGGTTGGGAAGATCCCCTAAAGAAAGGATAACCTACCCAATCCAGTATTCCGGGCTTCCCTGGTGGCTCAGATGGTAAAGAATCCACCTGCCATGTGGGAGATCTGGGTTGGATCCCTGTTTGGCAAGATCCCATGGAAGAGGGCATGGCAACCCACTCCAGTATTCTTGCTGAGAGAATCCCTATGGACAGAGGAGCCTGACAGGCTACAGTCCATGGGGTCATGAAGAATCAGACAGGAGTGAGTGACTAAGCACAGCACAGTATACCTTGAGAGTGACTATAAAACATTCCTTTAGTTTTCAGTATACTTAATTAGTTAAATGCAATGTTCTAGAAGAACATTTAGAGCTGAAGTTAAAACATTTACCTGTTCCAATAAACATGACATCATACTGGCCATCTTCTGCATCCACTCGATCTACCACAATTTGTGTAAACTGATAATTTACATCTGTTTTGATCATTATCGGCCGGTTATTGATAGGAAATACTGGATTGTACATGGCTGGATGACTTCTTGCAAATGTTATAACGTCATCAGGAAGGTCTTTGGTAGAGTCAAATCCACCAAATGTTTTACTGGGACACTATTAAAATAAAGAGAATAATATCTTTTGATTACAATATAGTGAATAGGATTATAATTTATATATTATATGCCCTCAGTTGTCTAGAATTTAAATCTGCAATTTTTTAAATTTAAGTAACTGTTAAACTAAAAAATAAAATAACGTTACTTAAGTTAGTAGATATAATATGTAGTATATATTTTCTAAACATATCTTAAGTCTCAATGGGATGTCATCATTTCTCACCAAGAACTATAAATGTATCTAATGAACTCAGGGTACAGAAGTCTGATGCCTTTTATTAGTGACAATACCATCTACTTTACGTTATCAATGAAGAATTTGAAATAGTGAATGAAATATGTTATGACAATGCAATTAATCATTAGTTTAGAAAAAGTCAATCATTTTCTTGGATACATTCATATTTCCCTATGATATCATGCTAAACATAAATATGTTCCTTTCAAATTAACGGAATATAAACTATTCTTTATTGCTTTATTTTAATATAACCCGGAAAATATAGTACAAAAGTATCAAAAATATTATTTCATTAATAATTACAGTAACTTTAGGGAACAGAAGATGTGTTATTCAAAGTGTTTACCAACTTGTACAGCACAGAAACTGACCAAACACACTGCACCAAGCAGAAAAGACGATAGCCATCGAAAGCCAGACAGAATGCAGTGTCATATACTGCAACAACATCACCTCTGATTTAAACGCTCCATTTAAGGCAATAAAACAAAAACAAGAAAATTCCGACTTTAGTCTGTCTCTTTTCATTGCATTTAATTATATGGTAAAAGCTTTTAGAGTACAATATCACCGTTTCTTGCTTTTTTGCCTTACACTTAGGTAATTTCTGCCATTTAGTTTAAGAGTTTGAAAGCTGAAATGTAATTAAGTGGTTCCTGATCTTGCAAGAGGCTTAGAAGGAGAAATCAATTGTCTTTGCCATTACCTTGATACAGATCATTAATAATTCATGAGAAATGAAATAAATAAAATTTGTTTTGAAATGGGAAAGTGTCTATCTATCTATCTATGAATATATATGTATATAGTAACCAGATACACACAGAATAACACATTAATATATCAGTTAGGGGATTTAGGGAATTATTTCTGTTTTAGTAAATTTAAAAAAATATTTATTTAATGAAATATCAAGTAGCTGTATAGCTGTATAAACTCCTCAAAGAAACAATAAAACATATTTTATGACATTAATTTTTTTGCTTTTCTACCACCATTTAGAAATAATTTGCAAAAACTTAGAAATGTAAGGTTGCACATTAAGAGATTTATTTATTTTAGATCTTTATCTTACAATCTGTCTCATTCTTTTGCCTTACTTTTATCATTGTATTTAGTACTACTTAAGCTGTAGGTTTTTGTTTAAGAATAAAGGAAATGCCATTCTATTGACACACCGTTTGAAGGCCACTTACTGTGTTTTTCTGCAGCAGTGTTGATGGAATGACATATTCTCAGAAGCCCACTTTTGAAATTAATGGATTCATCTAAGTGAATTTTATTCACAGAGCAAGGTGCTATCTCCTCTTGGAAGCCCTTCTCTAACTCCTGGCTTAGAGAAGGAATTAAGGCCTTCTGCCTTCTGCCTTCTGCCTCCAGCACTTGGTGCAAATTGCTGCCATGATTTCCCATGTTATAACAACTATCTGTGAATAATGGGTGAGAATTCAGGCTCTAGAACCAAACTGCCTGAATAGTCCTGGCTCCTTTCTTTGCCTCAGAGTCTTGATCTGTAAGATGGGGACAATAATTGGGCTACTGAATATAATACACATACATATATAAATAGGCCTGACACAAAAAAAATTTTAATTGCTATTAATTCTAAATACACTGTAGACATCTTCACATCAAATACTCGGTAGCTCCAAATAACAGCACAGTATCTAATGAAAGACTTTCACCAAGTTTGTTGAAGTAAGCCCAGAGCAAGTGTATAATTAGAATATACTGACATTAATTAGTCACAGAGATAAAAACAGCTGTAAGTTATAAAACTGTCCATCAACAAAGTAAAATAGTTTATCATTAAGAAATGGAGTAAATATCATAAGCATTTTCATAAAACCATTTGGCTTCTTACAATCAATGGATATTCTATCTTGTTCATTTATTCTTCTGAAAATCTATTTAATTTTTTATTTACAAAATCCATCAATTTTCATGTACAAGATCCACCAACTATAAGTAATCTTTATGAAATGCTAGTAAGTTTAGTAATACAGAAAACAATTACGATTAAAAGCATTCTATGTCCAATAAAATCATATAAAAACAGCATTTACTTGAATTAAACAATAAAACTCATGTGAAATTAAACAATAAAATTTAAAGAACAAGTTTTTTCATTATATGAAAGTATTTCCTTAAAGATTTTTAGGGCTAGAAAATGTTGCACTGGATGAATCCATCCACATATTTTAGAATTTCTGACATCACATTGATGACTTTGCATACTTTTGACCATACTGATCTTTTCTTTTTTTTCTCCCTACTTTAAAATGTAGGCTTAAATATGGTTTTATTTTGAGCTCTGTCCAATTTTTTTGAGCTGGAGTGTGCCTAGGATTGCTGGAGGAGAGGGGTCAATGAGAGTAGACAGCATCCGATAAAATATGGGGGCCCTGTTCCACAAAGTATTTTTATTTCTTGCATATCTTCTTTACCTATTTGAGGGATTTTCACAGGAAGAAAATACTGGTTAAAAACGTTTTCCTCCTATTTAATGGGAAATTCTTGAGCTTTCACCACAGTCAAAGAGAACCCAGGTGAATCTTAACTGTCTCAGCTCTCCATGAAAGCCATTTTTACTATATCCCTTTCAGAAAAGAAAATAAATAAAGCTATCTGTTCAGTTTCTATTTCTCAGAAATTATGGGTAATAACTACTGGTAGGCACTGAAATTAAACACTGATGCCTCTGAAGAACATATCGTTAAATGTGGAATTTCAAGGTATCAGACAAAATCCTCATCCTGCTTTCATTTATAGTCTTGGAATCATTCTTTTATATGATCTGCATTAAATATGTGTTATAGCTGCTTTTTTGTCAAGTCTTCAGCATAAATGTATTCATTTTCCGTCTTGAACACCTAGATCACTTACAGTTCCTGGTCGTGGGTAGGGGACTCTTCCTTGATAAGGCACCCACTGGTAGTTGGGACCATCCCTGTGAGCATATGGTCCAAGGAACACCCTTCTCACATCACTCATGCTATACATGCACACGGCTGACCCCTTGAAGATGTTACTAAAAAAGAGAGAACAAAAACAGAATTTCATTTTTATACAGTGACAGAGCTATATATGCTGAGTTCTTAAATTTCAGATAGCAATTATCAATACCTGAACATAAATTCTCAAATAGTGTTTAGTATTTTTAAAGCTGCATGTATATATATTTTAATAAGACATAAGAGAACAAATTATGATTGCTCAAAATTAGAAGGCATGGATGAAACCATCTTTAGTACTAATGTGTGCATGCTAAGTTGCTTCAGTCATGTCTGCCTCTGTGTAGCACTATGGACTGCAGTCCTCCAGGCTCCTCTGTCCATGGGATTCTCTAGGCCAGAACACTGGAGTTGTTCTGGGTTGCCATGTTCTGGGCAACACTGGGTTGCCATGTCTCCCTCTAGGGGATCTTCCTGACACAAGGATCCAACTCGCATCTCTTACATCTCCTGCATTTGCAGGCAAAGTCTTCAGCATAAATGTATTCATTTTCCGTCTTGAACACCTAGATCACTTACAGTTCCTGGTCGTGGGTAGGGGACTCTTCCTTGATAAGGCACCCACTGGTAGTTGGGACCATCCCTGTGAGCATATGGTCCAAGGAACACCCTTCTCACATCACTCATGCTATACATGCACACGGCTGACCCCTTGAAGATGTTACTAAAAAAGAGAGAACAAAAACAGAATTTCATTTTTATACAGTGACAGAGCTATATATGCTGAGTTCTTAAATTTCAGATAGCAATTATCAATACCTGAACATAAATTCTCAAATAGTGTTTAGTATTTTTAAAGCTGCATGTATATATATTTTAATAAGACATAAGAGAACAAATTATGATTGCTCAAAATTAGAAGGCATGGATGAAACCATCTTTAGTACTAATGTGTGCATGCTAAGTTGCTTCAGTCATGTCTGCCTCTGTGTAGCACTATGGACTGCAGTCCTCCAGGCTCCTCTGTCCATGGGATTCTCCAGGCCAGAACACTGGAGTTGTTCTGGGTTGCCATGTTCTGGGCAACACTGGGTTGCCATGTCTCCCTCTAGGGGATCTTCCTGACACAAGGATCCAACTCGCATCTCTTACATCTCCTGCATTTGCAGGCAGGTTCTTTACCACCAGTGCCACCTGGGAAGACCCTAAGTACTCATAGACTATATGTATTCATATCATAAATAGACAATATATGGTACAAATATATAAATTCATATCATGTTACTTTAAAAAATTAATTGAATATGTCCAATCAAATTTTAATGGCTTTAATACTTACAGAATAAATCAGTGTTGGACATTGTAGTTTAATCTTTCTTTATGCTATCACAGTCCTGTGCAGAACTTTTCCTGACTTTTGATTTTAAATTATTTCCCTTTTAAACATTTATACATATCCAAATAACACTATTTATATGCATGTAAATACATATTCCTTTCAGCAACTCCAGGTAATGTAAACTTTATGCTGAATAGAACTGTCAGAAAATAAGCACTGTTTGATTGACAGCAAGAGCTTTGAGGGGGATGAAAATGAGGAAAGGAGGAGGAGAAGAGAGGGGGAGGTGGAGAAGGGGGAGGGAGATGGAGATGAGGGAGAAGAAGGGTAAGCACAAGACAGAAGAGAAAGGAGAGAAGAGGAAAAAAAGATTTTTTACCCTTAGCTTATATCACTATAAACTGTTAACAAAACTCAGATTTCTATGCTTACAGTATTTTATAGTTCATTCAAAATTTTCAAGTCAAAGCTATACATAGGGCATGGTATACATTTCATTGTTAAATTTATAGTAATGAACTTCTTTGCTAAAATTTATGTATAAAATGATTTACATCATGACTTATTTCAAGCACCCAAGAATGCACAAGAGCTCAAAGGTTAAGCCAACATTGTTCTCTCAAAAATATATTGTCACAAATATGGACACTTAAAACAGTGTCTGAAGTACATGGATTTTCTATGATAATAAAATAGTAAAATGCTATTTACCTGGAAGTTGTAAACACTCCATATACAACTGGATTTTTAGGATCTTTAGAATTCATCAGGAATACATCCTCTGTTTAAAAATAAAATTAGGGAAATTTGCATTTCTGAAGGTTATGGCAAAGCCTGAACAAGTATACTCTATGCAACATCAACATCATTAGCTACTTACGCAATTCATCAAAATGAGTGTCGATGCCATTTGGGCCTGGCACTGAGCAAATGAGACGAGCTTTGAGAAATGTTGTCCATTTATTCACTAGACTTCTGTGGCCCCCAAAGTCATTCTGAATGGAGGGAATAATGGTTTTAAAAACTGTGCATGCAATTAATAATTTCAAATATTAGTTTTTATCCTCTCTTATCTTTTGTATATGAAACATACACAAAACACAATTCCTCATTTTTCAAGTTGATAAATGAATTTTAAATGACTAGATATAAGTAATTGCATTCTTATCCTACTGTTGGTACAATCTATTCATCCAAACCTGATTCAAGGAGTGACTTATAATAAATATCCCTTAGCATTAAACAGTCACTGTACTTTTTCCATTCTGTTACCACTTTGCAATGGACAATATTACTCTTGTGTCTGTTTTGGTCTGCTTTAAGTCTCTCTCTTACGTAGTAAGATTTTATTCATCTAAGTAGGTGGTTCATGGAAATAATCACATTTGCACATAGTAGCACTTAACAGGTATTTATTGAATGAAAGAATAAGTGCATGCCTCATAACCCATACTCAAAACACAACACAAAAGCATGCTAAGCATTACTTTTATAAGTTCAAACAGTTGAAACAATTCTGACTTTACAAATAGCATGTTGAAAATAATATCAGAAAAATTTTAGTAAAGAACTCATTCCAGAGCAACATATTGAAAAAGTAACTGCTCACTGAAAATGAAAATTAACTGTAACCCAATGTAGCAGTAAATTCTATTATGATGATATGCTTTTACTGGTAACTTCTAGTCTTTTAAAATAGTATTTATGTGCATATTTTTGAAGAAATATAACTTTTCCTCAAAATTATAACACTGATTTATATTTTGTTTATATGATTTTATTTAGTATAAAGTTTTTTTTTTTAACCCTTGTAAGTAGTGCTTTTAATGATGCTCTATATTGTGGAGAAAGATTCTTACATATTCATATATCATTTGTATGTTTCCACATCATTAAAACTTATAATTTTCCAGTAGTTTAACATACTACAGATAAATAATTAAATCATGATTGGGGAAGAAAAGAGGTTACACCCCTCTTCTAAGATAGGGATTTGTAAAATTTCATTATTTTTTAAAAAATAATTTCATTTGAAGACAATAATTTACTTTGTCCTTATAATTTTCTTGAGATGACAGGTGCTTTAATAATATAATAACAGTTGGCTTTATTCATATTGCATATATATTTTACAGTATAGAGTGTAGGAACAGTACTGTTACCATATGTTCACACTATTTAACCCATAAGTATTTACTGACCAATTTTTTATTCTATCTAACATTACAATGCATCTCACATCCAATTTTGTGCCACACAGTATATGAAAGCTCACAGTCTCAAAAGTATTTATGTGTGCTCTGTATGTGCACATTGGATGCAATAAATTTATAAAAATAAGCTATGATGTTTTTTCTTTTATATTCATACTTTAGTTATTTCCAACAAAATATATTCATTGAAAACTTACACACTGTAGGAAACTTTACTAGGTCTGAGAATACAGAAATTATTTTCCAAGGTAATACAAAAAATTATTTCCCTAGACTTACAAACTATTATTATTTAATGTACTTGTGAAACAGTTGTGACAACCTCCACCTGCATGTTTGACTATGAGGTTATACATAAGCAACTGTAATATGTTTTCAATAGTTTTTGCCTATTAAATATTTATAATGATCAGGCAGGTTTTTTAGCCATATTTTTATTATATTTGTACAAAGATGGGAAAAGGAGAAAAAAACTGTGATTAGACAAAGATACTCTCATTTTTTCTTTACCTCACCTTGCATATCTGACCTATTCTAGCGTGAGTGGCTTTTCCAGTGTGTTCTCCATCTATTGCATTTTCACGGAAGAAAAAGTACACTTTGTCATCTTCAGGGTTGTCGCTCTCTGGGATGAGGTGGGCACTAATGAACCTTGGATCTGAGAGACAAATTATAGCATATATATTAATTCAAATTGGGTAAATAAGATCATTCATTATAGTCTATTTTCAATTCTCTTTTAACTCATATTTGACACATTTCAAGAGCTAATTTTCCTTGGTTCACTCTTTTTCAGCAGATGCAAACCGTTCTTTATGCATTTTAAAGTATGCTACAAATTACTTATGTTTCTAAAAATTTTTTTCCAATAAAAATCAGGAGTAGGTACAGAAACCCTCAGTGTGACCAGATAATGCAAATGCATTATTGGATATTAACATATTTTGTAAACTGTAAGAGCTATCAAGCATTACTTATTGCCATCATCATTGTTATTTTTTTTAAAGCATAAAATAGTTTAAATCACACTACCAGTAGGTCTATTCCACTTTCCAGTAAAAACTGGGTGAGAAGGGAGAGGTGAGATTCCTATAAAACAAAGCAAAATACGTTCTTTCAAGTTGTACCCCATCTCATTAAATGGGAATGTCATTTACTAGATACTCAAGCTCCAAACCCTGGCATCACCCTTGAGTTCTCTGTTTCTCCACAGAATAGGTCAGTGTGCACATGGTATGTCACTACTTCTCTAAACCCTCCTATATCTTNTCATGCTGATGTATGGCAGAAACCAATTTAACAGTATAAAGCAATTATCCTCCAGCTCAAAATAAAGCAGAGTAAATAAAAAAAGAAGACTCTATCAAGCATCATGGTTTGTCTCTAAAATATGTGAATATAATTATCATCTTACACAAGTGGATTCTAGTGGGAAATCAAGCAAGTTATCATGTATATTCATTGTTAAAAAGCCTTCAATTCTAGTATCTCTTTAGTACCTGACACTATAGGCACAGAGGATTTGGTAGCCAAATTAAATCTGACATAACTTCAGATATGACAAAAAGTACCATTATGCACAGAAAATAATAAACATATTAAAACAGAAAAAGATAATTGAAAAAACATCAATTTAATGTGACTTGTCTATAAGAAATTTAGATTATTGTTTTGAATAAAATATTCACTCTAATTTCAAAATAAATCAGGTCTTCAGTTGATGTTTTCCAAAAATTTAAAAGAAGCCATTCTTTTAACATATTGAATTTAGAAAATCTTATATATACTTACTTTTTGGCCCAAACATTTGCTCACTATTCATTTTCTATTTCTCAGGAGCCCAAAATTTGCCTTTCTCCTCCTTGCCCCTCTCTGTTATTCTCAGTCTATTTCTCTCCTCTTTGGTGAATCCTCTTCATCTAATACAGTCATGCTAATGGCCTTCCCTATCATCCTAGAACTTCTTGGCCTCCTAAACCTCCAGTTACCTGCCTATTCAACCCCAGAACTTTCCTCTCTGTCTTCATACCTAAGCAAGGATGAAGAAAATCATATAGTCTTAGTAAATGGCTGTACATACATTCAAACTATTTATCCTAAATTCTAATGTTGCTAAGGAATTATTTTATTTACTTTTAGTGATTCACTTTAGATTTATTACCTGCTGCTGTTTAAAATCATTCACACTGTCTTCAAAATAACTAATGGATCGTCTTTCAATTTATCCTCCAAAGATGGATTATTTATTTGCTATACCACTGAGACCAAAGCTGTTTAGTAAGAACTCCCTTCTCTTGCTTCCTTCCCCACCCAATCTTTCTTTTCTTCCATTCTGTGAAAGCATGATTTCTCTTCCTTTATATGTCTAATGCGTCTCTCTATTTTCTCTCAATCCAGTAATCTACAGACTGTTGGTTGCTCCAATAAACAATTTCCCTTCTTCATACAACCTCTCACCATTTGTATTTTCATTTATCAAATATTTCCTAAGCACTTGGTCTGTGCTCTGAATTGTGGAGGATCAGGGGAAATGTTTTCTGCATACATGGTGCTTACTGTCTGTGAGAGAATAACAACAATTAAACACAGAAATTATTAAATTGCACATAATTTGCAAAAATAGAGAGTTTGAAATGATTGCAATGAAAAATGAAGGGAAAACTGATCTTGCTTTGATGGAATTAGGGAAAGTTTTTCTCAGAAGAAATGACATACAATTCAAGACTTGAAGAATATCTAGGAGTTTCCCAGGTAGAAGGGAACACAGGTGTGAGGTTACAGAAACCACAGAGAATTGTATGCAACAGAGGAGGGAGGTGGTCAGAGATGATGACAGAAGGTTAAGCCAAGGCCACAGTAAGAAGGAAGTTTATTGTTCAGTAGTTTATTTTCCTAATGGCTAAAAGGGGAACCAGTAAAGTAGTTTAAACCTGGTAATGACATTATCAGGTTTCCATTTTAAGAAAATCACTGGCTGTTTTAGGAAAAAATACATATATACTGAGGCAAGAGCGAAGGCAAGGAAACTACTCTGAAGGCTGGTGAGAAATTATGGTGATGTGGACTTTGTATCACAGAGAAGCAAACAAATGCAGAGAATTTGTGAAAGTAGGAAAAATGGGTTACATTCACTGATAAGACATTGGATGTGAGAAGCAGTAATAAAAATCATGGACAAATTAAAGAAACAGCTGATTGAAACATCTCGTTGGATAAGGATCATTTACTGAGATGGAACACTGAGGAAGGATAGATGTGAGAGTGGAGAATGAAGACTGTCCCAGTTTAGTGCATCTTTGGCGGGAGATGCTTTTGAAGTTATCCCTTAGACCAGGAGATACAAGAGTTCTTTCCCCACTGGAGTGTTCTCAGTGTTAATCAACAGAACCACCTCATCAGCCAATTGATTACTCATCCTCCTTTGGTTATCATCAGCCATTGGTACAATAAAGCAGTCACATCTTTCCAAAAATTTTTACTGCTTCTCTGGCTTGTGCCTTTTTTTTTTTTTTGGACTCTGAACCTCAATTGTTAATAATCTAATCTTCACAATTTCCTTTGGGGGCTATTTTTCCTAAAATCCTAAATATATATGTTTCTTAAATTTCTTTTCAGATACCTCTTATTTTGTTCTATTCCTATAAATAAAGCCATCTCCTAGTATTTCTTCCACCATTTTAATATTCTTAATTTTATTACATTTTTAAAGTTTTTTCCTTTGGGAATTTATTCACTTTTGTAGTTTGAAGTATCACCAGACTACATCAGCCTTTCTTCTCTTCCTATATTCAATTCTGCATTTCAAAATTTTGGCTACAATAGTCTACTTAGATATCTCATTGCAACTTAAATTCATTATGCCCAGCAAAGAACTCATCAACTTTTCTTTAAAAACTGTTTCTGCTCATACTTTTCCATTTTGGTTAATGTGAAGATCAGTACCTAGATATAAATGCTAGTTTACCTTAAATTGCCTCCATCTCCTGCAGGACTTCTGTTTTGTACTCTAAATTTATTTTCAAACTTATTCCTGCTATAATTTTCATTTCTTTTCCCTGATTTTATAGCATTAACTTTGCCAGCAAAACTCAGTCTTTTCACTTCACAGTTATATTTTTGGAATAATCTAACTTATACATGTATTATCTACTTCTTCTAAGGCATCTATCCATACAGTGCTACAGAAATAAGTACAAAAGCATTTATACCATGTATTTTCCCATAACAGATTTCAAATGTCATAGGATATGACTACCATAAATCAAGATGTGGCAACCAGAAAGGGCTATAGGGCTGATACTATTCCAGGTCAGTAACAGGGCTAAAAGTAGATACTACATTTATCAATACATATGTTCAAGATGGATCATGATTTTGGCTCAGTGCTTTCTAGCAACAAGAGGAAGTGGGAAACCTTGTCAGTTGCATTATTCACAGTCTCTAATATAGACAATAAACTAAAGACAAGCCACACCATCCACGGACTAAAACCTTGACTTATCTTTCAGTAGAACCAGCCACAGTTTCCCTTTATTAACTCCTTAGCAAACCCATCTGTTTGTTCCAAAAAACACCACATCTACCATCTTCTCAGTCATTTAGTTCACATAACATGGAGGAAAATTTGCTTCTATCTCTTCTAAATCATTTCTTTTTTTTTTTTAAATGATGCTCACCTTCCTTTTTTTATGACAGGCATTTGTCCATGGTTTCTCCCTCTCTTACCTTCAGCTTCTAAATAGACCAAAAATTCCTCTAAGCATATTGTGAATCTATCTCACTGCAGCTACCTAAATGCATGCCCTTATCTCTTCTTCGGTGGCAACCACATTTATATTTTCCCTGCCTGTGGCCTTACCTTCTTCAAACCACCTTGTACATTCTACCTCCTTTTAACATATAAACTCTTTCCTGGCACCTGGTGCATATTCCTCAATCAGAATCCATAAAACTCTATTTAATAATGTATTTTCTTTCCTCTTTATTCCTGTAAGCTGATCTTCCTATTTTTTCCAGTCTAAGGATAATTTCTCAGAACATGAATATAATTTCTCAGAACAGAACATGACTCCTGAATGAATAAATGAAGAAACAGATGAATGAATTTGCTGAACTAAAATGTGCAGTTTTTTTTTTAAAGATATATCACATTTTACTGCTTTTTGACATAGTTTGTTGAAGCTTGGGAATGAACAGAACTCATCATAGCTTTGACAATGTTTAAGTTCCTGGTTAAAGAAATTTTTAGATGTGCTTATTTAAACTACAAATATTTCTAAGCTATTATACCACAGTGGGTTTTCAAAAGGTTCTTCTGAAATGTTATAAATATTCTTTTAACTCAGAAGAAGCTTTTTGTTTTTGATTGCATCCCTCTGTGTTAGGTAACTAATGTAGTAAAATAGATTATCTGTTTCCAATTGTTCAAAATTAGATTTCATTAGCAGGATTAAAACATCAGAAAGCATGCCTTTTCATTTTATGAAGCTAAGAATAATGCATATATTAGAAGTCAGAGATTACCACTGAACTGCGAATCTTGGAGTATTCAATAACTTGCCCTGTCATCAAAAACACTACATGGAAAAGTTTTACCAAAATTCATTTAGATTGACCTATTAGTTCTCTTTAGGAATCTAAGAAAATTCCTGGCATTTA